CAAAGCCCTGCGACGGTAGTGCATCAAGATCGTCACCACGCCGTCGTGCTAACGGAACTCTTCGCCGACACTTTGCTGGATCAGAGTCCGGGGATCGTCATCGAGTTGAACGTGTGCTAGAACTCGGAGGTGTCGTAGTTTCGGTGCTTGATCGGTCGGGCCGTGGAGACGTACGACTACATCGACCAAACACTTCCGTTGTCGATCTACAAGGGTACGTAGATCACACTCTCCCCTCCCGTTGCTATGCATCACCATGATCTTGCGTGTGCGTAGGAATTTTTTTGAAATTACTACGAAACCCAACAGTGGCATCCGAGCCTAGGTTTTATATGTTGATGTTATATGCACGAGTAGAACACAAGTGAGTTGTGGGCGATATAAGTCATACTGCTTACGAGCATGTCATACTTTGGTTCGGCGGTATTGTTGGACGAAGCGGCCCGGACCGACATTACGCATACGCTTACGCGAGACCGGTTCTCCCGACGTGCTTTGCACATAGGTGGCTTGCGGGTGATAGTTTCTCCAACTTTAGTTGAACCGAGTGTGGCTACGCCCGGTCCTTGCGAAGGTTAAAACAGCACCAACTTGACAAACTATCATTGTGGTTTTGATGCGTAGGTAAGATTGGTTCTTGCTTAAGCCTGTAGCAGCCACGTAAAACTTGCAACAAGAAAGTAGATGACGTCTAACTTGTTTTTGCAGGGCATGTTGTGATGTGATATGGTCAAGACATGATTTAATTGTATGAGATGATCATGTTTTGTAACCGAGTTATTGGCAACTGGCAGGAGCCATATGGTTGTCGCTTTATTGTATGCAATGCAATCGTCCTGTAATGCTTTACTTTATCACTAAGCGGTAGCGATAGTCGTAGAAGCATAAGATTGGCGAGACGACAACGATGCTACGATGGAGATCAAGGTGTCGCGCTGGTGACGATGGTGATCATGACGGTGCTTCAAGGATGGAGATCACAAGCACAAGATGATGATGGCCATATCATATCACTTATATTGATTGCATGTGATGTTTATCTTTTATGCATCTTATCTTGCTTTGATTGACGGTAGCATTATAAGATGATCTCTCACTAAATTTCAAGATAAAAGTGTTCTCCCTGAGTATGCACCGTTGCCAAAGTTCGTCGTGCCCAGACACCACGTGATGATCGGGTGTGATAAGCTCTACGTCCATCTACAACGGGTGCAAGCCAGTTTTGCACACGCAGAATACTCAGGTTAAACTTGACGAGCCTAGCATATGCAGATATGGCCTCGGAACACTGAGATCGAAAGATCGAGCGTGAATCATATAGTAGATATGATCAACATAGCGATGTTCACCATTGAAAACTACTCCATTTCACGTGATGATCGGTTATGGTTTTGTTGATTTGGATCACGTGATCACTTAGATGATTAGAGGGATGTCTATCTAAGTGGGAGTTCTTGAGTAATATGATTAATTGAACTTAAATTTATCATGAACTTAGTCCCTGATAGTATCTTGCTTGTTTATGTTAATTGTAGATAAATGGCCCGTGTTGTTGTTCCGTTAAATTTTAATGCGTTCCTTGAGAAAGCAAAGTTGAAAGATGATGGTAGCAATTACACAGACTTGGTCCGTAACTTGAGGATTATCCTCATTGCTGCACAGAAGAATTACGTCCTGGAAGCACCGCTGGGTGCCAGGCCTGCTGCTGGAGCAACACCAGATGTTATGAACGTCTGGCAGAGCAAAGCTGATGACTACTCGATAGTTCAGTGTGCCATGCTTTACGGCTTAGAATCGGGACTTCAACGATGTTTTGAACGTCATGGAGCATATGAGATGTTCCAGGAGTTGAAGTTAATATTTCAAGCAAATGCCCGGATTGAGAGATATGAAGTCTCCAATAAGTTCTATAGCTGAAAGATGGAGGAGAACAGTTCTGTCAGTGAGCATATACTCAAAATGTCTGGGTATAATAATCACTTGATTCAGATGGGAGTTAATCTTCCAGATGATTGCATCATTGACAAAATTCTCCAATCACTGCCACCAAGCTACAAGAGCTTTGTGATGAACTATAATATGCAAGGGATGAATAAGACTATTCCCGAGCTCTTCGCAATGCTCTAGGACCAGTGGTGAGCATGGTTCTATTGTTTGAGTAATCAAAATAATCTTCAAGTTCATCCTAGTTACGGTGTGAATTTAATTTTTTTTTTCTTGTGCTGCTTGTGTAACCCATTTAGTATGAATGATTTTTCAACTGGTTTGAAGTTAATTGGAACAGAATGAAACTTGTTTTTCACATGGTTGTGTTGTAAGTTTGCAGAGAGTTGTACAAGTACAAAACAGAGATGTTGATGTGTGCTATCAAGTATTGAACAGCGTTGTTGATGTCTTATGTAGTGTTATTTCGATGTTCATGTTGTGTGTGATATTTTTGGCAACTGAATGGAAAAATCGTGGGAGTTTATTTCCTCCTTTTGGAAAAAGAAAGTAGAACAAATTGTTGTCATGTGATGTGTCTCCCCCGTGAGAAGGTCGATCCAGCGGTGCAGCGGCTCGTCCGGAGCCAGCTCAGTTCACTCATCCGCAGTTCTGCATCATACATGCATGGCTTGTTCCAAAGCTACTGTCTTGAAACCTGACTATTACATCTTGCTGCACTTGCCTGAGAGTATCACAACTCCATGTTTCAGATGCAGATGAATGCGGTCAACTCATCGCAGTTTAGTGAGGCACCTGACCGAAATTTTCGAGATCGAGGGCATGCGTCGACAAGCTGCCTGATGTCAGGTTCATCGAGGAGTACAACCAAAATGCGGTTGGTGATTTCTCTGGATGCTCGGTCAGCCTGCAGGCCTGAAAACCACATAATATCTCTGAAACCCACTGCGAAAAAACATAAGCATATCTGAGCCCTTCTTGACTCCCATAAACCTCTCTTCCTAATCGGGCTACAGCTGATTGATTGTCCTGTTCATTGCACTCTGTCGTGTAATTATTCAGACGTTTTGCTAATTCTGTTGTAGTCACTACCTCATTGGTTGCTTAGAGTGACGTAAATGTTTTTCTGAACTTCTCTTACATGATTCCTTTTTCTGAACTTTCTGATGATCAACCTAAGTTCTTCTACATCGTCCTCCTCGACGACGATCAGCGATGAGGATGAGGAACTTCTGTCTCCCGTTAGGAAGGAGGCTCTGCTTGCCGCTTTGCATGCTGTGTTCGCGCGCTATGCATGTGTTGCAGTTGCTGCTGCCGGAGCGAACCCTAAATTTATAGAGCTTTTTGGGGGGTCTTCTTTCTTTCGCATTTTGGTTTCTGATCCCTTTTCTCCTAGTGGATGTAATATACTCCCTCCGTTCCTAAATATTAGATGTTTTAGCTTTTCTCTATTTTCTCAGATTCGTATGCACCTAGACGCGTTTTAGTGTGTATATTCACTCATTTTAATTTGTATATAGTCCATATTGCAATATCTAAAACATCTTATAATTAGAAACAGAGGGAGTAGTACAGTACCTACTACTGAAAACTGAAAAAGAAACACTTCACCGGATTGCCCTTCGTTGTTCTCTGGACTGACGAACTCCTCATGCTATTGTACAATATATATCTTGCGTGTATGGGTTCTGAAACTGTTGATCTGCTATGACGATCAGTTACCAGGCCGAAAATGACAATGAACATAAAAAATTCAACATATCTTGAAAAATTGAAGTCCCAGCTCTCTAGTTAGTACTTACAATCTGAAGTGGATCGCGACGTCGCATTTTGTATACCAAGGTTAAGTTCCTAACCTCATTTGAGAACAAATATTCCAACAGCTGGTCTTGAGAAACAAACAGAAGCAGAGTGTGAGGGTTAATTAACAGATTCAAATGAATATAATGGTCAGTAAACAAAGGAACAAGTCAGAATGGATTCGGGCGAACATCATATCTTGAGAAACTGAAATCTTATATCTAGCATAGATTGCACTGAAAATAAAAATGAAAAGAACCGATCAAAAGGCGCACACCCCGTCCAATTTTCATTGAAAACGGAACACATAGTAACAGGCATCATAAGGCTCCAGGTAGATACATATCGCTGCTAAGGCAGCCGAGGAAACACTGCAAGAAACATCAGAAACTGCAGAAAATAACAGAGTATCCTAATTCTTCAGTGAACAGTCTTCAACAGCTGCCTGACCACCGTGACAGGGTCTGTGGCGCAAGTTCTTTCTTCCCAGCAGCTGGTTAACATTGAGGCTTCCAGATGTGCCAGAGAACCTGTAAACCAGACCACATGCATCGCCCAAAAAGAAATGCCATTACTCTGTTTCCACACCATTGCAGCGGCAACCATGTTGATCACAGCATTTTTCCTGTTGCTAATCTTCAAAATCAGCATCTATGTCTCTATGCAAAATGTAGGATAATCCCCTTCATAAGATCTGGTGCAAAGCACAAGGGAAATCAACAGCTTCATAAATAACACCTGCCGATATATGCAGTAGATGGAATACTTACTCTAAATGGCAGTACTCTGTTTATACAGGTCCATAGATAAAACTGGGAAACTCTGCGACAGAATTTCGACAAAAAACTGACACTGCCCAGGGCAAGAATACCACCATGCTTGTTGGAAAAGAAATACAATGACATGACCTTAGGTAAAAGGAGGTGGGTACAAGTACTTCTTATTCAAACAAGATCTTTTTCTGGGAGCAGAATGTTGATAGCCAATAGAAGCGCTTATTACGGATCTCGCAGTTCAGCATGGCAGCAACTTCTTGTGTGCGTCTCACAGGAGAATAGCTCCACCCCAAGTGAACTCGCTTTCCAGTCTCTGTGTGCTGGAAGAATTCTGCAAACAATTCCAAGAGCTTAATTCTTTTTGCAAAAAATAAGAAGACCAATCAAAGGTTCCGGCAGCATCGGCATATTTCTACATCACAAACCTGTGGAATAACTTCGATATTGGTATTCTCGTCCCGTGATTCTGTTTATAGCTCTCTAATCTCTACGGATGGCACATTTCCATGTCTTTGGTTTGAGCAGAATAGGGATAGGCCTTGGCTTATCTGCACAGGTTAATAATGCAAAAACTTGCACTTAAGGAACATCAATAAATTAAGAAATGACGAATTTAGCTTTAAAGAACATTTACTTCGCTTCATTTTTCTGTCATACTACTAGTGATGCTCTTATAGTAATCCAACTAGCACAATTAGCTCACTAGTAAGGAGTAACAAAGAAATTGCTGCATGCTTACTTCCGTAATAATGAGCATCGACGTGTTCCTCCTGGATGGTGCCCAGGCGTTGCTGCAGGCTTCTAGGGAGCGTCTTTATAACAGTGCAGTTCATAATGTAGAGACATTGGAGATATGAGTATGCTTGTGGCCAATCCGGTAGGGATAACAGGTTATTGCAACTCCAAAGGTAGAGGCACTCCAATAATGGAAGCTCTCCTGAGCTAGATTCAAGAGATGTCAACCCACTGCAACTATCAATGTCTAGAGCCTTCAGGGATGAGGGGAGATGGAGGACCCCTGTTAAGCCATGACACTCGACTAATTTCAATTTTTCCAAATTCTCCGCCCAATCTCCAGATGATGATGGTGATGATGATGATGATGATGATGATGACACCTCTGCTATACTAGATGGCCCTTGATGAATCGACGATGCTGACTGTCCCTGCAGCAGCCTCCTGCCGGATATAGACTCAAGCTTCTTGCAATAAAGAATTTCCATCACCCTGAGAGATGCAGGGACATTGAAGACCTCAACCAAACTTTCACATTTCCTTAGCACTAGTAACTCTAGACGTGGAAGGAGCTGACTCTTTTCTGATGATGTTGATGGCTCGGTAGAAGCTTGTGCATATCCAGTCAGATTCTCACATTGGTGAATCGCAAGCTTCCTCAAGGATACCAGTCCTTCAAACTCCTTTTCTGGCCAGTGGAGGAGTGCATGGCACCTCCAAACTGACAAATCTTGCAGGTGTGCAAAACATGAACACAGCTCTCTTATACATGGCTTGAAGTTTTGTAGCACCAAAACTGTCAGAGGAAAATCATGATCATTCCCTTTTTCCTTGCAATCCAGAACTTCCCTCAAACCATGCTCAGCCGCCGCCGAGGTTGTTTCCGTACTGTCTACAAGGCTATGCAGTTCCACATTGGTCAATGAAGTCATATGCCTGGCTACCCACTGGAACAACTGTACATCACGTCCTTCCATCTTCAATACACTGAGCTTTGGTGATTCAAATCTAGTTGTCAACTCTGGACATCTCTCGATACGAGTAATCTGGAGGTTTGGGAAGGTCGGTTGCCCTGGCAATGCTGTCAACTTTTCACACTGACTAATACACAATTTCTCAAGCCGAGGAAACATGATCACTTCACCTTGCATTCCATTATCTATTTCCCACCATCTTTCAAAGGAGACAAGCTCTCGCAACGTAAGCTCCTTCAGGTTTGGAAATGCAAAGGATGTATTAATGTCACCACTAAAGAACCATTGCAGTTTGTTACAATGAGAAATATGGATCACGACAATGTTCTGTAACATAGTTGTCCATGTTGGAAAGGTGGTGCCTCCATAGGTGTGTATCCTTATAGCATGCAGCCCATCATGAGGTTTAAGTTCCTCGAGCACTTTTGCATCATCCCGACTGCTAGATTTATCAACATCGTTATCCGATCCAACAGTCCATTTTAATGTCAGTTCTGTTACTTCCTTCTTCATCACGAGGTTTGCAGCTTTTGCAGCTTCTTCTGTCACGTTCTCTAGATGATGTAACTCTAGTTGACCACCGAGGTTTAAATTCCCGAGCTCTCCAACATTGCTGCAATTAGAGTCACTACCTGCTACAAAACATGTAAGTGTCTGTAGGGATGTGAGTTTTTTTAGGTCTCTAGGCATGCCTTTCAGCTCTGGACAACCATGAGTGTAAAGGTGGCGGAGGGCAGCCATATACTTCATTTGTCTTGGAAGTTCACGAAGAGATACGCAGCCAGAGAGGTTCAACGTTTGCAGGTTGTATAGAATGCTCATATCTTCAGGAAGTGCTTTGATTAAACTTCTTGAGAGATCTAGGTACCTCAGGTGATGCAGATGTTTTGGTTTCAGCGGAAATGATCCCAACAAACGGAGCTGTAATGCTTGCAAGGAGCTGTATTTTGCCAAATGATGCAATGATCTGCTCATAAAGCTATCACATAGAAGTGTTTGGATGGCTGGAGAGCTGTTCTTGAGAGAACGATTCAATTTTCTTCCTGGTTCCTTGCATGAAAAAAATAAATGTCGAGCCGTGTCTGGAAGCCACTCACTCTGACTTGGTTCCTCAGCTGCGACAACATATCCAATCTTGCATGGGTCCTCAGTTACCAAGGCACATTCCTTCTCCATTACAGACAGTGCAACATCATGCATAAGATCATGAATTTTACATGTAGTTCTGAAATAACACGCCCCGTCCTGTTCAATTTCACTGACTGTGGCCTGGACTTGTTTCACATCCTGAAAGAATGACCTTGAGGCTAGTTCATTGAAAATCTGTTTGCCAATCTTTTCAAGACGAACTTGCTTTTCTTGGATAATAAAGCCATGTGCAATCCATAGTTGGATCAGCTTGTCCACATCAATCTCATAATCTTTGGGAAATATAGCACAAAAGGCAAAGCATTGCTTCATATGTGGCGGCAAGTCATTGTAACTGAGCTTGAGTATCGGCAAGATTCCAGACTCCATGGTGCAAATGTTGCTTCTGCTTGAAACAACTTTCCATTCTTCTTCGCTGGTCTTGTTACGCAGTATGGAGCCTAGAGCTATTGCAGCTAAAGGAGAGCCAGCACATCGTTCCACAATCTCATCAACCATATTCACCAGCACGGCGGGCCTTTCCTCTCCCTTCTTCAAACAACTAAATGACATTGTCTCAATAATTTCCTTTATGTACTGTCCTCCCAAAGCTCCGAGATTATAAGCTTCAACGGTACCCATCGTTTCTGCAACTCCTTTATCACGAGTTGTTGTCAGGACCACACTCCCCATGCCACCACGTTCAAGGCAGGCCTTGAGCTGCTCCCATTTATGAACCTCCCGTGTCCAGACATCATCTAATACAAGGAGGTACCTTTGCCTGCTAACTACATCCTGAAGCCTATCTAGCGGTGTTTTCATGATGGAAGCTGCTACTTCTGCTCTATTCTTCTCAGGAGCTGCTTTAACTATACTGTTAGCCAGAGAATCCACATCAAAGCTGTCAGAGATGCATGCCCATAGCAGCAAATTGAAATGCTTCTGAATTTCAGGGTCATTGTAAACAAGTTGGGCTAACGTGGTCTTTCCCAGACCCCCCATTCCAACGATGGGAACAACCGTGAGATATGCATTGTTAGCTTGACCAACCAGTATATCAACAAGCTTCTTCTTATCTTTGGCTCTCGATCTGCTGGCAATTTTCTCTGGATCAAGGATATCATGATCCTTCTGTCGCCACTGGTTGTATACCTGCGGTGGTTGTTGTTGATACTTAAAGCCAAAGGCATTCATTTCAGTCACAAGCACCTCAACAGCCCGCGCAATCTTGCGGAGCTTTCTTCCCATCCTGTTACGGAATATGAAACGGTTGTGGGTGGGAAAGAATTTTACCACACTGAATCCAAGCTCCTTGTAGTGCCCCTCCTTTTTAGCCTTCCGACGAAGCGCCTCGTACTTGAACTCATCGAAGACCTCATTCGCCTGGTAGGTCACCTTCTTGATGGCCTGGAGCCAGGCAGCCGCACCTTCCCTGTGGGCTGCTGCCTGCTCAGCGTCGGCGATGACGTCCAGGATGGCGGGCAGCCGGCGCTTGAGTATCTCGTGCTGCTCCTCCATGCCCTTCATCACCTTGTACTTGTCAAGGAGGTAGTTGGACGCCTTCTCCATCACGACTGTGACCAGTGGTTGGACAACGACATTGACCACCACCGACGCCGCCATTGGAACACAGCGTAACAACACGGAGAAGCACAAGCTGGAGAGGACAACAATGGTGTGGTCTGTGGTGTGAGCAGAAATGTGCTTGCTTGCTTGCTTGTGAGTAGCATGGAAGGAGACAAGCAATTTTCCCCTTAACCTGTAGCTTCAGCGCTGTTCATCTTGTGAGCAGAGGTACCGAAGCACAGAGAACACGCAGAGGTGGACACCGGTGATGATGGCCTGAGCAAGATGGTGGGGCTTCTCCACGGATCCAATGGCCATAGGACGAGGTGTTTTCCCCCAAATATGCATGGTTCTGGCCCCATTATTAGAACTTTGCAATGATGCTGTAGAGTACGCCCTGCTTGCTCTGGGACGAATCTGGCACATAGGACGAATCTAGCAGCTTTGTTTCAAACGCAATAATGGCCTGGGCTGGGCAGGATGGGGGTGCTTGATTGCTCGTGAGGAAAATGGAAGCAAGACGACGCGTACAGTTCTTGACTTCCGAGGAGACGTACGCACATGTGGATCTGGACGCGCTTTGTCTCAAGGATGCTCGCTCCCTCCCTTTAATCGCCGCGGCCTCCTCCCCTTGGCGCTCCGCCGCCGGCCTCAAAAAGTCCCGGCTTGGTCGCTCGATCCCCCACCCCGACGGCCGCCGGGGTCCGGCGCGAGAGCGCTTCAGTGATGTACGCTGCAGGAAGAGGGGGAGGTGAAGGGGGAGCATGGCTTTTTGCGGTGCTCGCTTGATTCAAGGAAACACGGCGCAGGCGGCGGCGGCGCCCGTGGGATTGGGGGATATCTACCATTGTAGACGACGGGGAATGTATCCATAGAATATTTGAAAAAAAACTGAAAAAATTCTAGCACGTTAGTGTAACATCAATGTATGCTGTCACGAAATTTCATATGAAAATTTGAACTATTTTTTGAGATACAAAAAAGACAAATTTGACATCAGTGTGATAATGGGCCAAATCTAAAGCCCAAGTTATGTTTACGTACTATTCAGTGCGGAATTTGTCATTTTTGTTTTTCAAGTTATGTTTCGAACTTTGACTTGAAATTTTGTGACAAGCTACATTGATGTTATGTGAGTGTGCTAATTTTTTTCAGAATTTGTCGAACATTTTAAAAACACAATATGAGTTTGGTGCGTCGGTAGCACCACAAGCTCCGATGCACGAGATATTTTCCCGTAGACGAGGACGGAGTGTCATTTTTTTAGTTGACTTTTTTTCTTCTTCTGGTTTTTCAAGGAAAACGATTCATGTTGCAAAGCCGGACAAGGACCCCCTAAAAAAAGCCGGACAAGGACGCTGCGACGCCAACCGACGGCGCTGCAAACCGGATACGCAACACCTCACCGCAAACCTGGTAGAGGACGCCACAACTCAAATCAACAACGTTGCAAACTGGAGGCGCGACGCTGCAAGCCGGGACGAGGACGCTGCAACACCCATCGACGGCGCTGTAAAACGAGTGTGTGATGTTGCAAGCCTGGACGAGCGATGCCGCAACACCGACTGACGACGCTGCAAGCCGAGACAAGGATGTTGCAATGCCAACAACGCTGGACAAGTGATGTTGCAATGCCAACAATGCTGCAAACCGGACGCGTGTGCTGCAAGCCGGGACGCGTGAGTGACACTGCAATGTCAGGGGACACCGCTGCAAAACCGGATGCCACATGCTACAAAGCTCATTGTCGTTCTTTTGTTGCAAAAGTAGGACCATCATGTATGAAGCACGCCGATGTTGCAAACCGGTTATCGATTTTTTTTTTTGCTACAGAGTCAAACAAACATGTTGCAAAACCGATCAGTGATGCTGCAAGCTGGGATGTGCAATGTTGCAAGGCCGGACGTCATTGTTTTATTCTTTGTTACTCTGAAGCCAGACCACCATGTTACAAAATTAGCTGTTGCAAATAATGGTTTCACAAAACAAAACAAAAATCATTTTTTCTATTTTGTTGTTGCGACCATTTAAAACAAAAATGTTGTTCGACTTTACTGGTTCTATTACAGCAGTCTAGCTCGTTTTTCACAAAAGATTGAATTGTTTGGTATAGTTTTTTTTTTGCAATAGAATATGGATTTTCACTGCAAAGCCAAAGGATCCATAGAAGAGAAGGACTACCCTAAAAAAAATAGAAGAGAAGGACGTGAGGCAGTCAGTAACGAAGGAATTTAGGTAGGGCCCAACCATCCCAGTTACTACACTCGCGCTGCAACGATGCGTCAAGTCAAAGCAGTCATGCAATATCAAACTGCTCGGGATGCTTTGGCCGATTCAATCGCACGGCTCACAAGGTGGCTGATTTTCTGTAGTATACTCCGAATGGCGCCTAGTGCCCGCCTTTTTTCAAGGGGGGCAACGAGGACAAAAATGTCCAGGCACACTAGGCCAAGGTCCATCATTCTTTTTTTCTGAACGCGGTCACCCTTTCCTTTGTGGTCTCAAAATAAAACCCCCTTGAAAAATTTCACAATAAAAGAACCCTTGTGAAATACTTCATCCCTCTCAAAATAAATGTCTCAACTTTGTATTAACTTTAGGGCATACTATGATACTACTAATAAACAAAAACAAAGCGTATAACAACTAAATATTAAGAATTTATCAATATTTGCATCAATGGAGACAACTTATATTTGTGGCATAACTTATATTTTGGTCATGGTCAAAGTTTCACTGCAACATAGGGAGGTGGAGGGCTTAGAGCACACGGTAAATAGTCTTATGCAGCCATAAACTTGTCATTTTCTTTTGTCTTGTGTGAAGTATTTGTACTACTATACATACAAGAGTCCTATGTTGCAGTCTATTGCTGCGGCTATCTAGAGCTCCACGACGGCGGTGGTCACCGAAAGGTCTTCAGGGTGAGTCATCTCTCTTGATCCGGTGGTGACTTCAGGGGGTGAGATATAAATTATGGATGAGTCTTGACGCAGAGGGATGTTTGTGCAGTGGCGACGATCGCACCGCATGTAGCTGCTGAAAAGTGGCGGCAACAACATATGAGTGATTTCGATGGTGGTGTTACTAGCAGAGATTAAACTAATCATGCGAACTAGCATAGCAGATGAATAGATCCTAGGGCACATACTAGAAACATGAATTCTACCATGATCTCAAACAGGAAGGATGGAATCACATACGGTGCAGCGGGAGCAGCACCGCCGGCGTTGACGTTGTCGCCCATGTCGTCGAGGATGAGGTTGTCGAGGTCGGGAAAGAAGTCGTCGTTCGCGAAGTCATCGCTGCCAGCAGTCGCGCGAGTGCTCTCCCCAAAAACCTGATCGCCCCTCTCCGTACAGGATTACGAGAGGCGGGGTTCCGGAGGCCTGTTGTCCCTTCTCCCGGTGCACGCCAAAAGGGAGGGATGGAGAAGACTTGCTTGGCGGCGCAATGATCTGGAACAGTGGTGAAAAACCATACGAAAAACCGGCGGCGGCTAGGGTAGACGTCTGCCTAACTATATAGTGCGGGCCGGGCAGGTCGTGGGAGTAAACACCACATCCGAGTCATCACGATCCAAAAGAATCGGAAACGGTTCAGTAATTAACGCGTCCGTTAATTATTAATTAATGACTCATTAATTTTTCCCGGGCAGCAAAAATATAGACAACGTGCATAGCTCTGTCCTCGGCTCAGCTTAATCCCGCAACCCGCGGCGCGTCGTGACGAGGCGTGGCGTGGCGAGGTGAGCGAGGAGGAGCACGCGTGTAGGTCTCCTCTTCTCATACTCATACAAGTGGTAGAAGAGCTCACCTTATAAAGAGGCGCAACTCTCTCTCAACTTCCGGGCTGGGAATAAACTTTAGCCTCACTCACTCCACTCACATGTGTGCATGAATGGGCCAAGAGAATTTCAGAATTTTAGTTGGGCTTTGGGCCAAAGGCCTACTAGCAAAATTCCAACAATCCCCCACAAAGTCTCATTGGCACATCTCATCATTTAGTTCTAAAACATTGTTTATATACCGGTGCTTAGTGGAGACTGTGAAGTTGAACTTCCACTTAGAGATTTATGCTACACTAGATCACAACTTGAATAGTGGACTATCCCTTGAACTACAAGTTTTATGCGAGACTAGTTTCACACAAATTCTTGATCGATACTGGGCTGCCGCAAGGCTTCCCCGCGGGTGGAGCGTATACGTCATACTCCAGGGCCTTTTCATGAATTTATTAGAGAACACCCAATTCTCACTGACTGCGATGTTAACAGTCAAATTCATATAGGTGTGTTTCTCAGAAGATGTTCTGCAGGACAACATCTCTACTTACCCGAATAAGCCACTTGAAACACACTAAGATAAGTATCAACCTGCCATGCAGATCAGGAGAGTATTGCATTTTCACGAAGTGGGATAGTTAATATAGGGATACTCTCCTCCCAGCTGACCAACAGCTTGTCTCCCACTTCTACTTCACGGGATCTCCGATCATATAGAGTGGGTTATCACTATGGACAACTCATGCGGTGGGTCTCAAGCCCATCTTCATCGATGCATTATCTATCACGTTCCGTGATAGACCCTTTGTGAAGGGATCTGCCAAGTTTTTCGATGTTTGGATATAATCCAACGTAATAACTCCGGAGTTCCTCAATTTTCTGACAGATTTTAGTCTCCTCTTCACATGTCTTGAGGACTTCATATTGTCCTTTGAACTGTTTATCTTGACGATCATAGTTTGATTATCACAGTTCATTAGGATAGGGGGTATTGGTTTTTCAACCATAGGTAAGTCCATCAAGAGTTCATGAAGCCACTCTACTTCAACAGTGGCAGTTTCTAATACTGTGAGTTCTGCTTCCATAGTTGACCTCGTTAAGATGGTCTGCTTGCAAGACTTCCAGGAAACAGCACCACCACCAAGTGTAAAAACATAACCACTTGTGGCCTTAATCTCATCAGCATCAGATGTCCAGTTTGAGTCACTATAACCCTCCAGTACCATTGGATACCCGGTGTAGTGAATCCCATAGCTCGCGGTGCCTTTCAAAT